TTTGTTTGTTTTTTTTGGTACAGGGGATCAAACTTGGAACCTTGTGCCTTCGGAACCACTGAGCCAGCCCAGTTAGATAATATTTATAACATAAAGATAACAGGCTCTGCCAACAAGGAATTTAGAGTTTGCAGTTTACTGTTAACACAGTTTCTAGTTATTGTACAGATTTATATGACTAGCCATACATAATTATTTCTGATAATTCAAAGAAGATACACATTGAAGCTTTAAGTAGAGGAACCTAGAGAGACCATAGAAGCTTTGTGCTGTTCTCCCATACCTCACGTTCTGCATCGCTCTATTTGTATCCTTTGTAATATCTTTAATAATAAACTTGCAAATAGTAAACGTAAAAATAGAAAACTAAGACCCTTATTATTATTATTATTATTTATTTTTATTTTTTTGGTACTGGGGATTGAACTCGGGTCCTTGCACTTGCACAGCAGTTGGCGAAACCACTGAGCTAAATCCCCGGCCCATTATTTTTAAATCCCTTTTGTTGACACTAAATACATAAAGTATACTAACACTAACTGAATGGTTTATTCATTTTTATATGTGTGAAACTGTCACTGGTCAGGGCCTGAGGAGGTCCCCCAGAGAAGAGATGGGGACTTCACCTTGCATCACAGGAAAGATTTCAGGGCATGTCATTGTGAGGCATAGTCAGATTTCTAGTTAAGAGGAAATTGGAAAGGAATTTCAGCTTGAGGACCTAATGGGGTCACATCTCAGATGAAGAGGGTCATTCTGCCCCTCCACAAAAGGAGATTGGTGTTTATGGATTAGCTGAGATGGGCCGGAATCTTCATGAACATTGTCTCAGGTTTGGTTTGCAAAATGGCTCAGGGGAGAAGTCCTTATTGCTTGAGGGTACAATTCAGTCTGAGAGAGAGAGAGAGAGAGGGGTGTTTCTTTTTTAGGCAGTCTTAGTTTTATGTACTGCTGAAATCAAAGGTGAACATAGCTTTAGGGCAATGACTGGAGATTTGTGGGCACTCATTGGTAGTTGAGTGTCCCTGTAAATCTCTTCTTTTGATGTCCTCAGTTTTGAAAGGGAGGGGATAAGATAGATTATGTAAATTTAGAGCTAATCAACCTTTTGGCCCACCTTCAGACAGATACAACACTCCCTAAATGATTATATGCCTGTGTGCAAAGCTGAGTGAGGATCTGACTTAAAGTTTTAAGGTTAAAAAAAAAGGATAGAGGCAAAGTGAAGATCAAACCCTGTCCTGCTTTTAGTTACTTACTGGGAATCTATAGGACCAAATGAAGAGTCACTTTTTTTTTTTTAGAAAAAAAAAAAAGTAAGAGCCTGAGTGCCTCAGAAGAAAACAAATCATACTTTTAATGACTTTTATTGCCATTGAAACAGTTTTACTTTTTCCTGAGTTTCATATAGGTAAGAATTTTGCAGTAAGTACTCTATGTTTGACTTCTTTAGCTCAGTGTAATTCCTATCGTATTTATATTGTTGCATTATCAGTACATGGTTTGTTTTATTCTCTGTAATACTCTAGTGTACAGATATGTACAAATACATCACAGTTCTTTGTCCATTCTTATATGCATTGTTTAGCCAGTTTTTGCTATTATGAATAAAACTTCTTGTGAATATTTTTTATGCATGTCCTTTGAGGAAAGTAAGCCCTTTTATTCCTTAAGAATGGACTTGTTGAGCTACAGATTCATAGTGGTTATAGCAATTTACATTCCTAACAGCAGTGTGGTCACAAAATTCAGTGAATGTTAAACTAAAAAAATTTATGACAGTAAAAGAAACATTGCCAACACCCCCCCACACCCTGCCCCCCCCCCGTACTTTCCCTTTCTTCCAGCATGTATCTCATTACTCTCATCACTTTGTAAAGCAGTGCTGGACATTCTCTTTTGTTATTGTCTTTAGTTGAGCTGTCATAGCTGCTCAGTGTCCTTAATCATTTCAAAGTGTTTGCCGTTCATGGTCATTTTGACGTGGGGAAGAGCCAGAAGTCACATGCGCCAGATCTGGTGAATAAGGTGAATGAGGATACACTGTAATTTTTTATTTGACAGAAATTGCCATAAATGTTTTGAATTGATTCAGGATGTGGAGACAGCCATGATAGTGTAACTCAAGACACACAAGAGGGCTTCCAGAACTGATGTAGAAAGTGGCAAGAACAATGGGAAGTGTTTGAAGTGAGAGGGAATATTGTATTTTGAGGGTAATTACTGGCAATGTGTCTTTTACTGTAAATTTAATAAATGTTTAATATATTTTTTATCACACTATGACAGTTTTAGTTGCACTCTGTTTTAGCCTACACATCAAATTATCACATTAAAATGTTTATAATGGTAATCATTGTAGCCTTAATTCGCATTTTCCTAGGTATAAGGATATTGAGCACCTTGTAATATTCTTATTGGGTTTTAGAGTAGCTCCTTCATTAAGTACCCATTTACACATTTTCCATGTTTTTTAAGTGTCAGTTTGTTGTCTGACACTTAATATACGAGTCTTTAGTATATTCTGGATATGAATGTCCCGAGAGTGGATTGTGTATTCCCTTTTGACTCTTAATGGTGTCTTTGATAAAGAGAAAGTTTTATGGTCATTGATAGGTGAACTTTTAAAATATGACAGTTAACGAAAATAAATCTGTCAAGATTGATTCATTAATCAAAATTTGTGTATGTGTGCAAGGCCTTTTTGGTTTTAGTTTTGGTGCGGAGGCTTGAACTTAGGACCTTGTGCATGCTTAGCACATGCTTTACAAGCTTCGCTACACCCACGACAAACCCAGTTAAAGTTGTTTTTAAACCTGGGTGTGATAGTTTACTCCCTTTAATTCCAGTACTCTGGGAGGCTAAGGCAAAAAGGATTACAAGTTCCAGCCAAGCCTGGACAATTTAGTGAGGCCTTGTCTCAAAATTTAAAATGGCTCATCTAGGCGGGGGATTTAGCTCAGTGGTTTCACCGCCTGCTGCACAAGCACAAGGACCCAAGTTCATGCCCAGCACCTAAATAAATAAATTAAATAAATAAATAAATAAATAAATAAATAAAAATGGCTTGTCTGGGGATGTAGGTCAGTGGCAAGGCCCAGAGTTTCATCCCTAGTATGCAAAACAAGCAAACAAACAAAAAAATCAGTTTTTAAGCCATCTCAAACAATAGATTAGACCTTACTTTGAAAGCAAAGGGGGGGAAAACTCATAGACCATTTCCTTGATCTTTTGTTTTAATGGGAATGTTGAGATAGCATTTATGAATCATGAATCTCCATGGTTGATAGTTTAATTATATTGTTTTATGTATATAGATGTCAAGATTGAGAGAAGTGGGAAACCATAAAACCTTAACAGTATCCTGAGCCTTCTGAATTTTACTTTGGGAAAGATGTATTGTTTTGGTATGTTTGAATGTCAGTCATTGTAGCAGATCTGTTTGTATGCCTGTGATACCTCTTGCAGTTATACCTGTGGTATACTTGTGGGTATAGAGAAACAGGGCAGAAGAACTTTAAAAAAATAAAGTATTGAGGCTGAGGATTTAGCTCGGTGCCACCGCCTGACTCACAAACGCAAGGTCCTGAGTTTGAGCCCCGGTACCAAAAAATGTATCATATATCTTCTGTAAGTCTGTCATTGCTAAAGGTAGTAAATGTATATAATGTCTCCCCTTTTCTGAATTTCTGTCTTTAAAATAAACACATTTTTAGTGAACTAGATGTCTGTTAGCTAAAATTGAAAGTGTCATCCAAATGTGTTACTTCCATCTTTACTAAACAACAATTTTCAAGTGAGCATATTCACATACTTCTTAAAATTAAGAACAAAAAGTGTAGCATACTTAAGAATATTCAGAAATGATGAAATGATTTGGGTGTTAACAGTGCAGTTTAAATTGAGAGTCACAAACCAGACATGCCTGAGAGAAGTATGGATGTGACCTGAGGAAAGTAGAAAGACTGTATGGTGATTGAGCAGAGCAAGAGGGAGGAAAACAAAAAGATTGGGTAGAAGTAGCTTTTCTATACCTGTATTTTGAAAGAGATTCCAGACTGTGTATGTGTTTAAAAGTATTATATTGCATAGTTAGGAAGTTTTTTTTTAGTTAGAAAGTTTTGAAACTAGAGCAAGGTAGAGGATGGTCTCCATCATCAGTGATCCTCAGTAGTGTCTAGCCACAAGGATTTTGGAGGTGGAGTAGAGAAAGACAATACAAATATTAATAGAGGGATAATTTTAAAGCTAGAATAAACTAGTGGTATTTTAAGTAAAAGTCCAGTGTGTTAATTAAGCATGGTCTCCTCTGGTTGAAGGAAAAAAGTGAGGGTTAGATGTGACATTAATTCTTGAGATTTCTGTTCTCCTAATCCCACCTCATTCTGCTCCCCCCATCCTTGAAGCACAGCTGAGAATAGTCAATTTTAGATCCATTAATCCAGTTCTCTCTCTCTGTTCCCTCTTTCTCTTGTCAGTCACCATGTACATCTTTTTACCTTTCTTCATTAAGGGAATACCTGTACTTCTCTCATTTCTTTTTGCATTTGAATTTATGCTCTTCATTTCCCTACATGGAAGTGTTTGGGTGATTGTAGCAGTACTTTTGGAATCTGTTCATTTAAATGAGTTTTCATCACAATTCAGTTTTCATGTTTGGAAAATAACTGTATATGTGCAAGACAATTTTTGGTCATATCTTGCTATACCCTTAGATTTCTGGACTCAAACCAATCTCTGTGTGGTCTCGCTTATTGAGAGCCACTGATGTATTCTGACATCTGCTTCCCTTTAATACATAATGGGGAAACTGGCTTGGATATATAATAGGTTTTTCTGTAGTCAGTTTAATAAGGCAGAGGTAGAACTAGGCTATGCATCATGTAGCTCCCTGCTTAGTGTTTTCATGCTTTAATTGCCTGGATATTTAAAATGAACACATTTTAATGAATCAGGGTCTACTCATTAAAATTAAAAATGCCATCCAAATTTATTTCTAGGTCTTTGAAGAAACTGGTTTTGATATCAAAGACTATATTTGTAAGGATGATTACATTGAACTGAGAATCAATGACCAACTTGCTCGTTTGTACATCATTCCAGGAATTCCAAAAGACACAAAATTTAACCCCAAAACCAGAAGAGAAATTCGGGTATGTAACAAATGAGAATATCTGCAGGTGGCTGGACAGTATCCAAATTGAATTAAAATTGAATTGAAAATTCTTTTTTAAGACTCCTCAATAATTATTAACTACATAATTTTTTCCTGTGTTTCAGAACATTGAGTGGTTCTCCATTGAGAAATTACCCTGTCACAGAAATGATATGACCCCCAAATCCAAACTTGGTTTGGCACCGAACAAATTTTTTATGGCCATTCCCTTTATCAGGTATATTTATATTTTTTGAAATATAAAACCTTCATGTTCTGGTGTTTTAGATTTTAAAAGTGAATTTTCAATGTTTACATAGGCCATTAAGGGACTGGCTTTCTCGAAGATTTGGGGATTCCTCAGACAGTGACAATGGATTTTCCTCAGCTGGTAGCACACCAGCCAAAGCCACTGTGGAAAAATTGAGGTAAAGAAATGTAATTTATATTTATGTTTTTTTATATTTAATATGTTTATATTCATATATATTTACATAAATATCTTTCTGACTTTCTGATGTCAGTTTTTAATACAGTAGCATTTTGCTTCTGAAGTTGGCAGAGGTATAAGATTTCTTTTTATGGATAATATTTTGTTACTGGTCTCACAGGTACAGGTTAATTGGAGTTGGAAAGGAGCTTCAGGCATAGTTTATTTTTTATCTGTATGTGTGTAGTGCATGTTTACCTTCCCTGTGAGGACTGGCATAGGTGCATCCCAGTCCCTGCTGTCATTCCCTTTCCCTCCTCTCCCTACCCTCCTTCCATCTTTTGGTCCCTTTCTGTTTGAGAAACATGTATCTCCTTCCTTCCTATTTGTTTTATTTTGTTCTTTATCTGTATTTTGTGTTTCTCTTAGAAATCCATGTAATAGTTAAGCTTGTGTGGGTCATGTATTTCACTAACCTTATGGTTTTGAGGTACATTTATTTTCCTACAGATGACTCAAGTTTGCCTTTCTTTTTTTCGTTTTTTTTTTTTTTGGTATCAGGGATCGAATTTTGGTACTTGGCTTGCAAGGCAGGCAGCGCAACCACTGAGCTAAAAATCTCCGCCCCAAGTTTGCCTTTCTTTATGGCAGAGTACTCCATTATGTGTAAATATCTTATTTTCTTTATTCATTCATCTCAGTGGATATATAGGCTACTTCCAAGATTTAGCTATTATGAACTATGTTTCTATAAACACGTTTCATTGTAATATGATGTCTCTAACTCTTGGGAAAATACCTAGAAGGGGAGTAGTTGGGTCAAACGGAATTTCTAGTTTTAGTTTTTGGAGGAGTCTCCATACTGATTTCCATAGTGGTTATACTAGCTTACATTCTCACCAACAACGGAGAAGGGCTGCTTTTTCCCTGCAGCCTTACCAGCATTTGTTATTTGATTTTTTGATGATGGCCATTGTTTGTGGGGTAAGGTCAAATCTCAGTTGTTTTAATTTGCATTTCTTTAATGGCCAATGATGTTGAGCATTTTTCAACAGTTATTGGCCATTTGTATTTCTTCCGTAGTTGTGTATTTATTTCAGTTGCCCATTTTTTGATTTGGTCCTTGATTTGGGAAGGTCTAGTATTTTTGACTTCTTTAATATATTCTGGATATTAGTCATCTGTCTGAGAAGTACCTGGCAAAAATTTGTTTGCCATTCTATAGGTTGTCTTTTCAATCTGTTGGTTGTTTCTTTTGCTATGTAGCTTTTTAATTTAATATGATCTCAGTTTTGATTTTTGGCACTATTTTTTGTGCAAGCAGGGGAGTTCTGTTCAGAAAGTCTTTGCCTGCAGCTGTGAGTTCAGAAGTTTTTTACCTATTTTATCTTGCATCAAGTGAAATATTTCTGTTTTAACAGGCTGTCTTTCCTTCAGTGTTTTTTCACCCCTTTATCAAATAGTGTTCTCAGAAGGGTACTAACTTATAGATAGGTAAAAAACTAGGAAAAGGAAAAAACCTTGCGTTTTTGTAGTTCCTGTTTTTATCCTGCTGTAGAGAATTGAGTGTCTGAAGGTGGCTGCCAGAGGGATGCTGAGGATGGTGCTGTGTGGGATGCTGACTGGGGATGCTGCTGAGAATTTGTTCAAGGCAGCTGTGAAGACTTGTGCTTGGGTTTCTTTTTTTCATAGCATCAGCTGTATTTTGAATGGTGACTATAAAATGGATGTGAAGCATGAAGAATATTTACTGCTTAGAACTTGATTGTTTCCAAATCACAGGTAGAGAGTAGAATGTGGAACTTCATTAAATATGCATACTTTTGTAATCAGCTTGCTGTAACGTCTCAGATTCAGAGTTAATCTTCACATTTTCACTAATTTAGATGTTGTGTTTTTATTATAGAGATTAAAAATTTTAAATATGAATAAATCACACCTATAATTAATATTCATTTTATATAGGTAGTATTCCATTTTAGTTGGGTTTTATTAGAATAAGAGTTTGAGCTAAATGCTGTAGAATAATTTTTGCCTTTGAAAATTGCTGATTATAATTACCAAACTGTATTTTCCTAGAAATAGGTGAAACAGTATAGAAGAAGTAAGGTAGACAGGAATGCTGCCAAAAAGTTAGGAAATAGTGATGGTGTTTGATAAAAAGTTGTATAAATAATGTTCATCTTTGGGAGAATCTAGCCACTATAATGTGCAATACATTTCCTCTGCTTTTAGTCCCAGGGTTCCTGTTCTTGGTTCATGGGTAAGGAGACAGCAAGAAACCTTTAACTAAATTTCAGGTTTCATACAGATGGCATATTTATTTTTAACCTCTGTGTCATATTTATACTAGTCTCTGTGGTGATGTGTTGGAGGAAATGTCTCAATTTTTTCTATGGAAAAAAATAGACCAAAATTTTATGTAGGTCTTACATGGGGAAGGGGAAGAAGATAATTAACTATAATGTGGTTCTTGGGATCGGTAGCTCTGGCCTGTACTATACATGTACATGGTACTATATAATAATGAGATTTCTTATATGATCAACTACTGCATGGAAGTTAGATTCTTTTGCATAAGAATTGAAGACTGTGTCTTTATTATAATCTCATCATCAATTGTCTTGTACCCTTAATTTTTGCTTTAGAAAATAGCTTAATTTCACAGATGTTCTTATAACATGGATAGGACCCTTAACTGACCTGTGTAAGATCAAATTCCATACTTGAAATATTCTAATAAGAATATGAGGGGTGGGGATTTAGCTCAGTGGCTCCGGCACCTGCCTTGCAAGCGCGAGGTCCCAAGTTCGATCCCCAGTACCAAAAAACAAATAGAATATGAATTAGCCAAGGATTTAGCTCAGTGGTGCCACTGCCTGCCTTGCAAGCGCAAGGTGTCCTTAGTTTGATCCTCAGTACCCCCCCACCAAAAAAAGACAAGAATATGAATTTATGGTGTATTAAGAAGGAAGGTCTTTCAAGTAAATTTAGAAAGAATTATTTTCCTCAAATATTAAAGAATATAATCACTTGAGGAGATGGTATAGATAATTTTGAAAAGTCTGGAATTAAAATATTTATTAACTCATTCAAGAAGTAGTTGGACTGGGGTTGTAGCTCACTAGTAGAGTGTTTGCCTAGCATATGCAAGGCCCTGGGTTCAATCCTCAGTGCTATGAGAAAGAAACTATGTATTCAGTACTTCTCACTCTTCCAAGTGCTGGGGATAAAATAGGGGGCAAAACAGATAAGAATCTCTGCCCCCATGGAATTTACAAGTATCAAGAGAGACAATAATAAGATAGTAAAATATGTAGATTGTCACTTAAGCTATTAGAGTGTTTAAAGAAGCCTAATTAAAAATTTTCTCACCTGATTTTTATTTTTTAAATATCGGTATAGTCGAACCAAATTCCGCCACAGCCAGCAATTATTTCCTGAAGGTTCTCCTGGAGACCAGTGGGTAAAGCACAGGCAGCCAGTGCAGCAAAAGCCATACAACAGCCATTCTGAAATGTCTGACCTATTAAAAGCAAAGGTAAGTGATGTACTTTAAAATTTGTCATAAATTTATATCATTTGTCTTGTTTTTTGGGTCAGGGTCTTGGTAAGTAGTTCAGGCTGGCCTCACACTCCTGGCTGTTCTCCTGTCTCAGCCTCCCAAGTGCTGGGATTACAGGCATATGCCAGCTTGGCTAGATTATTTGTATTTTAAGTTATTTTCAATTGGAGAATTGCCTATTAACAGTGCATTATAAAATTTAATTTTCAGTCTTGTAGTATATGGTGATTCTATAATTTATCCATTCTGGTCTTAATGGAAATTTTGATTGCTCCCAGTTTGTTTCCTGTGTTCTTGAGTATATATTTGAAACAATTTTCTCAAATAATTTATATCTTCGGCAAAAGATCTGAGCGTTAACAGCCAAATTCAGTGGTACGTACCTCTAATCCCATTACTCTGGGAGGCGGAAGCAGGAGGACCATAAGTTCAAGCCCAGATCGAGCAGTTCAGCCTAGCAAGACAGTGTTTGAAAGTTAAAAAAAAAGGGTTGGGCATTTAGCTAGTGTGAAGGACCTAGGTTCAGTCCTCAGTCCTGCTCACCCTGCCCTAAAATATTGTTTTATTTTAGCTTGTATTTGGTATTATCTGTCCTTTTTTTAGTTATCCATTGCATTGCCATTCTTTCACTTTTTAAAAAAATACAGAGTTTAAGCTGGGTGTGGTGACATATACTTCTAATCCCAGCACACTGCTCAGGAGGCGGAAGTAGGATCACAAGTTCAAGGCCACACCCTGTATCATACGACACACACACTGAGTTGTCAAAATTAAAAATTTTATGTGCTTCAGAGGACATTATCAAGAGTGAAAAGACAACTTACAAAATGGGAGAAAATAGTATGTATCCCAAACCATGTATTTGATAAGGGTTTAAAATCCAGAATATATGAAGAATTCCTTCAACTCAGCAATAAAAACCCATCCCCATTGAAAATGGGCAAATGACATGAATAGATACTTCTCAAAAGAAAATATTCAGATGACCAATTAAGTACAAAAAAGAGGTTCAGCATAATTTACTGTTGCGGGAATGCATATCTAAACTGCAGATTCTCATATTTTAGGATGGATAGTAGTAATAATAAAACCAACAGAATGGAAAATAACAAGTCTTGGTGAGACTGTGGAGAATTGGAAGCCTTGTGCATTTGCTAGAGGGAGTGTAAAATGTACAGCAGCTGTGGAGAACGATTTGCAGTTTCTCAAAAAGTCAGACATACAGTTATCATATGACTCGGCAAATCTCACTCACAGGTAACATCCAGAGGAACTGAGGCAGGAACTTCAACAGCCCGATGTATCAGTTTGTTAGCAGGATTATTCTTACTAGCCAAAAGGTGGAAATAACCCACTTGCCCTTTAACAGATGAGTAGATAAAATGATTTGTATACATGCAGTGGACTAATTTTAGCCTTTACAGAATGAAGTTCTGAGACATGCTGCAGTGCAGGTGAAACTTGAAGTGACATAAGGACAGAAAAGGACAGATAGTGTGTGATTTCACTTGTATGAGGTACCTGGTATAGGCAGATTCATAGAAACAGAATAGAGATGATCGGGGTGGAGGGAGGGGGTTTACTGTTTATTGGGTACAGGCTGTTTCTAATGATGAAAAAGTTTGGGAAAAATGAGTAGTGGTACTGGGCATTGTGTCTAATGCAATTGAATTACATTAAAGTGATCGGAGTGACCAAATCTTATGTGTGTTACACCACCAAAAAAAAAAACCCAAACTGGGAACAGCAGAATGATGCTGAATCAAAAGTATGGTAACATGAATTTTTGAAAGCAATTACTGCTCTAAAATCACTTATTTTAGTAAGTGCTAGTATTTTCTGCACGTAAATAGAACGTAAATGTTTTTATATATTTTTAAATTCTTATATTGTTTTAGACAGTCTTTTTAAATGTTTAATTTTTAAATACATTGATTGATTGTAGTTCTGGGAATCGAACCCAGGGCCTTCATATTGAGCTACATCCACAGCCCTTTTCTATTTTGTAAATTTTGAGTCAAGGGCTTGCTAAATTGCCCAGGCTGCTTTTGAACTTGGGATCCTCCTGCCTCAACCTTCCAGAGTACTGGGATTACAGGTGTGTGCCACCATACCCAGCTAGAGTCAGTCTCTTAAATAGGTGTCTTTGCAAGATCTTGAACTACAAATTTGTTTAAAAAGTGTATTGTGAGCCAAAATAAAGATTTTTCTTTGTAAGTTAAAAAAATATTTGATCCCCGGTACCAAAAAAAATGTTTAAGTTAAACTTAGATTTTTTTAAAAACTCATGTTAAATAAGTATGATAGCAAGATTTTAAACCGTGCTGCATGTTTAGGTTTTATGTCAAATTTTAAAACAATGTTCCATGGGCCAGGGATTTAGCTCAGTACTGACGTCTCCTCCCTTGTAAGTGCAAGGGTCCTGAGTTTGATCTCGGGTACCAGAAATAAATAAATAAATAAATAAAAATAAAAATAATGGCCCAAAATTTTAAAACACCAGTCTTCATTATTATTTGATAAAACAAGATTATTTGATAATGCCTATGTGTTTATTAGTAATTTCAAGTAGATTTTAGGAATAATAATTGATCACATCTGTTACCTACTTTTTTGCTCTAAGAACTGGGGCTGTTGTGCCTCAGCATTCCTTCACAGAGAGCTCCCCTTTGATCATCATGTAGGGTTTTCAAAACTTGTTTTTCTGTACCCTGACTTTTAAAATTTTTATTTTATGTTTATTTATTAATGTTCGAGATTGAACCCAAGGCCTTGTGCATTCTAAGCACAAGCACTATCATTGAGATACTCCTGTGCCCTCATTTAGCATCATAAAATCTATATACAGATATGGGAGGATGAGGCAAGAAATGTGAAGATTCCTGGGAACCATTGTATTTGCTGTTTTATACCTTTAGAGGAATCTTGCTTTGTGAAGCGCTATCTTCTGTAAGAAGATACAGTGGAGCCTTGATTTTCAAACTTGATCAATTCCTGAGAACTGGTTGTAACTCATGTAGGTTGTAAGTCGAAACAGCTAAGATCTGGATGTTTACCTGGGTACACGCTACAGGTAACAGGGCAGATGAATCTTCCATTAACCTAATTAATCTAGGTTGTTAGTATATCAGGCTGGTCGTAACTTGAGGGTCCACTGTACATCTATGTGGTGATTTATGAAAATTTTCTTGGCGTTGCTGACTGACTGTCTGTAAACATTTTTGAGATACATTCTTTTGTGGTTTTTACATTATGCTATAGATTTAAATTTTATTTCTTTTTACGAAAAAACAGAATCAGAGTATGAGGGGAAATGGCAGAAAACAGTATCAAGACTCACCTAATCAAAAGAAAAGAACTAATGGGACCCACAGTCAGCCAGCGAAGCAGCAGAATTTGTTGATGGTAAGAGTTAAAGATCCAGGATGTTGTAGGCAGTCCTTCCTTTACAGAAGTGGAGCAAGGTCATTGTTCCAGCACATTAATGTTGTTGGGTTTGTGCTTGTTTTAAGTGATACAGTGACTGGATTTTTAATGGAAGTAAATTATGTACCATTATATTCATTCACTAAAAATCTCTTTGGCCACTCTTAATTACAGGTTTGTAACATGCCAGTTTCACATCTTATTTTTTCCTTTTATACAATTATTTACTTTTCGAGTGAAAACAGATTCCTTCTAGTTTTTTGACATTCCATTATATTTTCATTATTTTGAGTATGCTGTACAGTAGCACACCAGAACTTCTTCCATCTTGCTGCTTCTCCCTAGTTTCTGGTAACCAGCATTCTAATCTGAACTTTTATTAGATCAGCTATTTTGTAGCTATTATTTTTAATGAAATTTAAAATTTGAGAGGATGTTGCAGTTACATTTTTTATTTAAGTTGATGGAGTTCAGAAAATTAAAAATAAAACACAGTGTCACTGTCATTAGACTAGGCCTAAACACAAATAGTTATGAACATTTTACAGCATTTTCTTTCATTCTTCTATTTAGTGTGTGCTCTAAAAAAATAATATCCTAAGTGTCCTCACTAATCTCTTCTATAAATACTAATATTTGTATGTTGGAGTTTTTTTGATAGTTTCATTTCTTTAATAAAGTAGACAACAGTAACTTCAAACTTTTAGCAAAAAATATTTCATGTGAATTCCATGGTTGATGTTTACTTAGCTTGGGGTATAATGACACCATCCATTAACATATTAGTATAGATCCTTTTATTTCACTGTACTCTGATAAAAGTATTGAAAAGAACAAAGACAACAATCTTAATAGATGATAATAAGTCTTCTGATAAAATTCAACACCTGTTTCTAAAAAAAGCTAGAGAAATCATTTCTTAATGATATTGTATAAATGTTAATTCTTCTCAAATTAATGTGTAAATTTAACTCAGTATCAAGATCCTTGTCGATTTTGGAGACACTTCACAAAAGACTCAGATTTGTCTGGAAAAACTTGAGTAGATTTTTAAAAGTTAGAGAAGTATATGAACAATTTATAAATGAGTGACTGATAAACATTAAGTGTTATACCATATGTGTACTCAAAGAATTAAATTAAAATGGGATACACCATTTTTCATCAAGTAGGCTAACATAAAAAGATTTTACAGTATTGGTATATTAGCAAATCATAATTACTAATTGGTTAGAGAGGAGCTGGCTACATCAAAAAATCTGGAAAAGTGCTTATCTCATTTTCTTGGAAGAGAAATTCAAAGAATAGTCACTGTCCCCTTACTCTTCATGATAATGAAAATGTGGAAATAATCTATCCAAGAGGATGTTGATAAATGTAGTGTTGTGAATCTGTGCAATAGACTACCATGCTACCATTACATTAGTAAAACTGACGATGTATGTGTGTATTTATTGAAAAAGTTCAAAACCTATTAATATTTATAAAGGTAGAACTGCTGAGGATGTAGCTTGGTGGCAGAGCACTTGCCTAATATGTGGGAGGTGCTGGGTTTGATCCCCAGCACTGTAAAAACAAAGAAAAAAATATAGAACAATGGTATATATTCTTTAATTCCATTTCAGAGCTGTACAGTTTTATGAAACTATAATCATACATACCTTCATTGGAAAAATAAACACTGCAATATTGATAGTAATCTGTGGGTTGAGAAGTATAGTAAGTAATTTTTTTTTCTGGTTCCTCTGTGTAATCGAAACCAAAACGTTTGGCCGGGGATTTAGCTCAGTGGTTTCACCGCCTGCTACACAAGCGCAAGCACCTGAGTTCGATCCCCGGTACCCAAAAAAAAAAAAAAAAAACCAAAACGTTTTAGGCTTCAAAAGAGAAACCCTTGTGAAAAAATAGAAATGGTGATTTTATTCTTGTTTTAATTTTTTTGTTGAGAAATCTGATACTGTATCTTCTGATTTTTTAATAAATGAAAATAACTGGAGTCTGTTGTGTGTGTCTGTGTTTTTAAACAGAAATGTGAAAAGAAACTGCATCCGCGAAAACTTCAGGATAACTTTGAAGCAGGCAAGTTAATTTGTATTTTGTAAAAGTCTGTCATGTGGAATTTGGTTTGGTTACCTAACAGTGACTTTTTAGCGGGGTTTGTTATGAACTGTGATAGTTTTTTGTTTTGTTTTTTTTGTACCGGGGATCGAATTCAGCGTTTGGGAGGCAGGTGACAGCACCACTGAGCCCATGAACTGTGATAGTTAAGCAGGAAGAGTTGCATATGTTTTGGAAAGAGTTCATGTATGTGGAGTTATCTAAATGTGAAACTGGTTGAAATGAATTCACTTAAACAATCATGATCAAATTATTTGCTCTTTGTGCTATTTTGTGACGGTCAAACCTTGGTGCTGTGGATGAATATTGTAAGAAATTTTGTATGGCTTCAGGCAGTGGTGGCGAACCTATGGCATGCGTATTTTTTTTTTTTAAGACAAAAGTTACTAGGGCCAGGGTTTTAGCTCAGTGGTTCCGACACCTTCCTCGCAAGCAGAAGGACCCGAGTTCGATCCCCGGTACCAAACCCCCCCCCCCCAAAAAAAAACCAAAAGTTACTAATGTATGAGTTGTTTTTTCTAAACTAAAACCTCAGTATTCAGGTTTAATTGTAGCATTGGCACTCTGCAATAAACAAGGAGGTTTGCAGTTTGGGCCCTCGTCTCTGAAAGGTTCGCCATCACTAGCTTAGGGAGAGTAGAAAGAGTCAAGTATTGTAAAGGTGAGGAAAGCTCATTCTCACATGTATGTAAGGGGAATGCTGAATTCAGAAGGAAACTTGTTCTCATTTTGTTGAGGTAATGAGACCAGCTTTTTAAGGTGATACCAAGGATAGCTTTTGTTACAATGATACTTGCATTTGCTCCATCTTGGGTTATGAAGGGTAGGTATTTTTGATTTGGAAACTAATCCTAATGAATGTAAAAAGTTTTTTGGTAATATTGATTTGATAGATGTCAGTTGAAAGTACAGTATACTCTTTTTAGATACTATTTTCATTTACCACCTTGGTGGTAGGGAACACGATAGGCTGATTGCTAAATGTCATTGACATATGATTAGAAATCTTTTATTTTAACAGAATCTCTTTTAAAATGTAAAAGGATTCTTTTCCTGGAAAGCCTCATTTCAGACTTTCTTTTTTGCTGTACCCAGTTGGAATCCATTCCAAACATGCTTTCCCGATCAGGTCCTTTTTTCTATTAACTAAGTAAAGCCCAGATTAATTGGAGGTTTGTTGTGTTGTGATTTTGAAAACTTGGGTTTTTCTTTGGTTTGATATATTGAAGACTTGGTCAACTTCAACTTTATTTTTCCATAATTGTCATCTTTACAATTCTTCCAGTGTAATTGTAGTTTTCAAAATGCTTTCATTTTCACCTCTGCAAGAATGTACCATTATTTTGGCACAAAATGCAAATGTAAGAGGTAAACTTATGCCCATTTTGAAGGCAAAGGAATGTCAAGGGTCTTACAGGCTGAAGTTAAGGTTTAGAATGTTGAGGTAGAGAAATAAGTTATAGGTCAGAAATTCAATCAAGTACTAGTTTGGGGAAAGGAAAGTATCTTGGTGTTTCTGCTTTAGTTTAGATTTAGTTGTGGAAAGATAAATATATATATACTATATGCATTTCTTTGTATCAGAAGGTGAAGGGCAGTATTTGATTCCTAAGTTTCTGAGCACATTTATTTTGTTTTCTAAGCAGATGCTGTATATGACTTGACTTGCTCCGTTGAAGACCACTTGCTAGAACATCCAGAGGAACAATCTGTGGCATGTAATGGACATTGCAAGTTCCCCTTTTCATCCAGAGCCTTTTTGAGTTTCAAGTTTGACCACAATGCTATAATGAAAATCTTGGACCTTTGATACCAGCAGATGTATTGTAGAAGTCTCAAGATCAGAGGCCTGTTGCATTTGAGTGGGTGTCTCCTCAAGCCTTACCTTTCTCAGGTGTTTTAAAGAAATGCAGGGAGGCAGTGTTTCTGAAGAAATTTTTTTTTCCAGAAGAGAAAGTAGAAATGAGTTTGCACTGTAAATGCAGTTATAACCTTTTAATCCAGTTTTACTTTTTCAGTATTTGGAAGTTTTAAGTTGCTTTTTTTGAGGGCATTTATTTTGTGTGACTGTGGGTCTTATTTTGTATTCTGATCAAGAAAATAGTATTTGAGTCATCAGTAAGTAAGTGGCCAAGTTAATGGGAAGGTTTCGTCTACCCAGTACAGTGATTACAATAATAGTTTACTTATATGAAATTTCAAAAGGAAACTTAAAATACCCTATTAGTAAATGAATATAAAAGTGAAAATGTCATGCATGTCAAGATTACACCTCATCAAGAGGGTAGCATTTTGCTCATTTCTCTGTGTCTAACCATTGAGGCTCTCTGGTACTCTGGCTTGGAGTTTTATTGAAAGAATTTATTTAGAGCCAGCATCTGTGATATAATATTCATGTGCAAAATGAACTCTTAGTACTTCATAAACACACAGTCTGCAGCCTGATAGGGATCATGTTGATGTGGAGTTGATGCTGTAATTTTGAATCGTGCTGCATGCAATCAGTAAACCTGTGAATGCTGAAGCAGAGAGCATGGAGCCAAGACTCAGCAGTCACTTTGGGTCATGTCTTTACCATCTTGCCTCCAACGCTTTGGTATTGTACAATGATTTTGTTCTTGTGAAAATTTCTTCCATATTCCAGTTGTGTAAATATGTAAGGAAAACTGACAATATTAGTTTTACATGGCATATCAGTGTTGGTCTATAGAAAATGGTGTTATATTGGTTCCAGTTTGCGGTAGTGGTAGAGAATGACATGCTTTATTGGCATCTGAGGCCCCAGATGATGGAGTCAGAAGAGATGGGATGTGCAGTTTACCCATGGACAAATAAAGCACTTCACTAGGGAGAATCAGAACATGGAAGTAATGTACCTAACTCAGTCCTAGGAATGTATTTTGCTCCTTCAGGGTTCTTATATCCAAGTAAAGATGGCAATGACCATTTTAAGAAGGGTTTCAGCTATGATTAAGGACAATCACCAGAGCTTTAAGGAGGCATTACTTTTTTTGGCTGCATCTGACCTCATTGAAGATACTTCTTGGGGGAGAGGGGGTGGAGTGTTTGACGTATGTGTGTGCAACTGTCATGTGAGTTTTAAAAATCTTTTTATAAGTGGTATCCACAGAATATATCTCTGCTTATAAATGTTACTGCAGAATTCTTTATTCTATATAGGTAGCCTACTTAGCCCTGTGGGACTTTTAAAAGAAGGGCTATCATAAGGAATTCACTTGGTATTACTACTTTGCTTTAGCTTTTAAGTGACTCGATTTTAAAGGAGAAATTTTATTTATTATTGAAAGTGTCACTCTTGGTGCTAAGCAGAATTCATAATTATGGTTTGTTTAGAATTATGTTATCCATAATCCTATATCTTTTAACATGACTAATTTGTGAATCCCGTGACCTGTGCTTTTTAATGCATTACATGATTGCATTTGAAAGTTCTTTGTTCTTTTCAGAAATACAGCTGCTTTGCTTGGGTCTCCTTGAGCCATATTTATAGTTGGTCCCACCATTCCAGATTTCTGTTAAATTGTTAAGGGAATGAAATACTAGTTTGCCTAGCAGATGAATCATTTTCAATTGTTTACTGTCGTCTAAACCATTTAATTTTTAGGGTTTATTTTTTTAAACATGTGACTTTTTTTTTCTTATTAAATGAGTACTTTTGGTCAGTCTTTCTGGTGCCTGTAGAGTTAGATTTTTCAGCTCCCAATACTAAAGAGCAAAAGAGATTAGTTATCAGAAGTGTGGTTTCTAATATGGTTAAGTGTTTTGAAGAACCAACAAATTATCTTTTTAATTACAATAGTTATTACTGTTGTGCTGCTTCATTTAATGCACTGTGGAACAAAATAAGGTTATGGTTGGGATGCAATTATGATAACTTTAGGCTTTTTACTCTCTTGACAGGTTGAGATTAAACATGTTAAAAGATGAGTTAAAGTTTATGTACATGATGTGACTTAACTATGCAGAATAAATGTTTAAGTGGATGTACCTGGTTTATGTACATCTGTTTTACTTCTTTTCGGTGTTTAGGTTACCTTGAGGTAGGCTATGCTTAGCACAAGACTAGATTTTTTTCTTTGAAATATTTTACCATGGTTTGAGGAAATTGTATGCTAAAGAAGTATGCTGAATATGCAATAATGTACTTCTGTTGAGTGCTGCATTTTAAGAATCTCAAGAAGAGTAGTTAGGGCTTCATTTTTAAAAAAAATTTTTTTGGTACTGGGGATTGAACTCAGGACCTCACACTTGCGAGGCAGGTGGCGGAACCAGTGAGCTAAATCCCTGGCCCATGGTTTCATTATTTTTAATGTGTTTGAGAGATAGGTCTTTAAATTCTTGTTTTTAAATGTTCTTCTGTTCCAGCCATACATGTTCCAAAGTGCAGTGCACTGTGAATCTTGTTTTTTAAAATTTTGTAGGTGCTTTTATGTTTAACTTTGATGCATAGGCTGTTAAATGAATTGTTTTTGTACTAAATCATTGTAATTTAAACAGTAAGGATGCAGTTTACATGCTTTCTACAAAAAAAAAAATAATTAAGAAATAGCAGATGGTTTTAGGATTTGATGCCTTCCTGAGACCTGAACATTTGGAGAGGTCTGGGAACTTAATAGATCTTTGGTAGCAAAGGTGAAATATAATTTAAAAATTTAAGTTCAAGTTTCATGTTAATATATATGTAAAGGATAAAGCCTCTCAATGCTGTCAGGATTTTTGGTTACTGCTTGCTGATTTGAGCTTTTAATATCATTATTTTTGTATAAAGTATCAGTAAACACAGATAACAAAGATACGTAAAAATTTATGCTACATGATTGGCTCGTACTTTTTATTTTGAAGTCTTTAGTACTTTGTATTGTCAAAAAGAACTCAAATCTAAATGAATGACATCCTTCTACTGTAGGAATTAAGTTCCTCTATGAAATTCAGCATTGTGTTCTCTAGAAAAGTTAATCAGTTTGATGTCCTCTTCCCTTACTGTTGCCTTTGTATGTATCTCCCCCTCTTTTGTCTTCAACATTTACAGTACTTAACAGTAAGAAGAGCAAAATTAATTACAAAAATTGGAGTTTTTGCCAAGTTTTTCTTACTGTGCTACCTCTCGGCTTTTTAGCTTTCTTTGTACCAGCAAACCTCCTTGCTCAGAGACTTTGTTTTGATTCATATTCATAGTTTTACAGTCATAGCTATGATCATTAACACTTGGTCTTTGTGGTTTTGATTATCTTCTAGCTTGGAGAAGGATCTCAAATGTATTATTATAACTTTAAATTAATGATGAGCAAAACAAACCATTTTGTCCGAAGGTATCTTTTACCTTTATAGCCTGTCTCTGGGTCAACATTAGTAAAACAACAGTTACGATAAATTTTATTCCTGACAGCTTGGTGAAGCCTGGGTAGAAGTTCTCATTTATTATGTCCTAAGACTTTAAAGTGCATTAATACAGTTGCCAAAAATTTTGAAAATAAGCTTATGATGGGTTTTTTTAGCATTTTTTTTTCTTCCTAGAATTGAATTACTCTTGAGGCCTGTAACTCCTGGCCCAGAAGGCAGCAGGTTGCAGATGGGCAGTACAAGCTTGATCTCCTGCTTTCAAAGTAGTGTTCTGGAGTTGAAGTTTCAGGAAATAATGATAAATTATTATTTTAGAACAAAAGTGCCCTGAAAAGAGAAGATAGCCTTAGTTGTGGAGCAAAGAGTATAAAGGTATATCAGCACTTGAGCTGTATAATAACACCTGGTCATTGCCTAGTTTTAAGCATAGTCTGATATATATGGTGATTGCCAAATATTTTCTAGCCCTGAATGAAGTTATTTTTTTCTAGGTATGATTGCCAAGCAATCCAGTGAATCTAAAGTAATTTTTCTCACTTAAAAACCAGTGTTTGGGAGTCTGTTTCTTTCTGTGTTGATAGCCACAGAACTAAGTCTAGCCACTGTGAAGTGGCCGATAGCCCAGAGCACACACAGCCGGGTGTGTGGTAGCCATACATTTGTCCTGAATGGTGACTGATTTCTTATCAGCTACTTTCCTTGTGACAAATTGCATTTATTATTCAAATAGTAGTCTGTAGGGCTGGGATTTAGCTCAGTGGTTCTGCCGCCTGCCTCGCAAGTGTTAAGTCCCGAGTTCGATCCCTGGTACCCCCCCCAAAATAACCAGTAGTCTGTAGCTCTAGAAAAATGAAGCTCTCATGAATGGGACTAGACTTACTGCTCATATTCCAGCATGTACAAAGAAATGTTCATAATGGAGTTTACTCTGGGTCCCCAGATTAATTAAATCACCAATAAAAGTTTAGGTCTTCTGCAATTATCAGAAGAGATAGTTTAACCATATTAACTTGAAAGTACAATGTAAAAGAAACTAACCTTCGTAAGATGTTGCATTAGTTGAGTGATATTACTTAAGGGTGCTCTGAGGACATTGAATGCAGAAATCAACTGTGGGTTGTGTGACTTTTCTCTTTAGTGTACTTCACTCTAAGAGTTAAGGCCCTAAATATATATTTTGGAGGCACACAGTTGTTTGTTTTTAATGACCAGTCTTTTGAGTACCATGTTTAAAGACTTGTTTCTTACCCTTTTTCTTAGTTTGGCCAGGAAGAAGCTATTGAGTCTTGTTTTTATGTTTTGGTTTGGTTTGGTTTTCCTGATTTGTTCCTTTTGGGAATACTCTGGTTTTTCTTTTGTCTCTGCTACATCCCTTTGGTGAATCCATCACTGTCAGAATTTGCAAGTAGTGATTTGCCTTCTGGAGAAGGCAACTTCACTTTGACCCTGGGAACACCTGTGTTCTTCTGACTCAGTGTGTGGTCAGCCTAGTTTGCTGGTCTTTGAGGGGTCTTCTTAGGATAGTGGACTTTTTGAGATAGAAGGTAACATTAATCTACTTTTAATGTAGTGAATCCAGAGTTCTAAATATATAGCTACAGACTGGCAAAATATTTGGGGCACAAGTCTACATTGTAATTTCTCAAGTTTTAAGAAATTAATGCATGCTTTTTTTTTTTTTTTGGTATCAAACTCAGATCCTTGCGCTTCCGTAGCAGGCAGTGAAACCACTGAGCTAAATCCCCAGCCCATCGCATGCTTTTTTGATATTTAGGAATAAACTATGAACTGCAGCAAATGAAAGCAAAGTAAAGGTTCTCAGCTCAATGAAATCTAGAAAAACTTTGGCAGTTCAGTTGATGGCAGACTTGCGTTCTTCATGCACTATTATGGTATGCACTGGTAGAAAAGCACACAAGACATATCTGCAAGAATCTGTGCATTTCACTGCTGTCCTAGGGCACTGCTGTCTCTGTGTTCATTTTAGGTTTGTGTTTGGATGTTGCACAAATAACTATGAAATGTCAAATGCAAAATCTAAAGAAATAAGACTTTAATTTTCCTTTTCATTTAAAGTTAGGACAGGAGGTGGCTAGTCTCACTTCCACTTAACACTATTCAAACAGAAAAGGACAATAAACCATGAATATTTTGATTTACATATTTTTCCTTATATTTTTGATGTTTGCTTATCGTAAAACTATTGTACTTTCAAAAGATCATCTTTGTTAAGTATTGACTTATCCTAGATCTATATATAATTCAGACTTAATTTTGTATTGGCTTTAATGAAACTTTAAAACCATCTAATATTTTAGAGTGATTAATCAAATAAAATAGTTTATGTATTAGCTAGCTTAAGTGAAATATCTCTTAAGATTGTTTTTCATCTAACCAAAATAGGGCATAGTTTAGTTTGAATGGGAAAGGGAATAATTGGTTTTTTAAATTCTGTGCCTATTTCTAGAAGAAGATTTGAAGTGACTTTTTTTACATTATGCTGTGAAGAGTAGATAATGTTTATGGAACATAGTCTTAAACAGTTCGGGAGTAAGTTTTAGTCTGAAAAATAGATGTTTATGCTGAGTTATGTTAAGTGAGTTATTTTTATTTGTGATATACAAAAGCAGGAAGATAAAAATTGATGAAGTGGTTTTTCTAAAAATATGAAAAATAAGTATGAGAATTGACTATATTAAGTGGAAAAAAAATGAACTTTAGAGTAAATGTGATATTTTGATATATTTGTAAAGTTTATTTCTCCGGTAATTATTTTTGTCTTATGTGAAATCACTTAAATTTAATTTTTGCTTAAAGTTTTATTACTTTACCTTGGAGGGCATTTTAATGCCTGGAGAAAAACTGTAAGTAAAGTCTTTTAAGTGATTCTGTCTACAGTAGTTTTATAAGTTCTTGCTGCCTTTCTTAGTTGTCAAACACAGCCAAGAAAGAACCCCAGAATACCTGTTAATAAGTTCAACTTGTAGTTAGAAGAATTGAAACCTTTGAAACATATGTTGTTTCTGGATTCATTACAGTGGTACAGCAATAGCTTTGTCTTTTTCCTTCAGTGTTAATGAAAGGGGGTGAGGACTGATTTTTAACCTATCTTGGGTGTAACTGTCATAAATAAAAGATTTCTCGTGACTCATGTTTGTGAATTGAAATTTAAATGTTTGCAAGAACATTACACTTCCAAAGACATGGAGATTGTCAACTGTGCTCTCCACTGAGAAGATGAACGAAATTTTTGTACTTTAGTCTTTTGTAAGCTTTTTGTTGTAAATAACATCAGTTTAGAAACTAAAAACCTCCTTTTATAAAGTAGAATTATGAAAAGTTGATCAAATATTGGCTTATTGTATTAAAGTTAGGCTATTTGTAATGCAATAACCAATAAAATTGGCTACTTGGGTAGTTTTAGTTACCATCTTAACCTTATTTTTGGTAGTTCGTTGTTATTGTGGGTTCTTACTTGTATTTTGGTTACCATCTCTTTGGACTAATAAAAAATGGTGAATATGATAAACAAATTCTAACAGGAAGAAATATTAAAAGGTAATCTGCCTGAAAATAGAGAACTGGTTTGTATTCCTTACCTTAACGGCTTGATTGGTGCTTTAAAACAAGATTATACAGGAGGGCTTAAGATGTGAACTAGATATATAAAAGGGAGCAATTTTTAAAAGTGTACTAGCACCAGGCTTCCCAGTAGAATGCTGCTTCTCCTTGGGTCCCAGGGGAAACAGCAGTACTGTATTTCTTCTCTGTTAAGAGATCTCTGCTCTGATGCTACAGGACTGGAGTACTATCCTTTATGGTTTTCTGTTGTGCCGCAGAAAATCGACATTGTAGCATTCTTTCTGTCAGACAGGATGCCATCTTGTAGTTGAGTTATACATGACTCCCTTGTGCTTTATCTTGCCTGTTTCAGTAGATAATTTCCCAGGTATGCCAAGTTTGAAAAAGCCAAATGAAAGTTCGTGATAAATGAGGTTTCTTTGGCTGTTTGTGGTTTGAGCCAATGCCTTATTTTTAGCTCCCTGTTTTGACTTAGGGCTCCTGATTTAATAAGTATCGCAGGTTTGGTATTTACATGGATTACAAATTGGTTTATTGGAAAACCGAAATTACCCTTTAATTAAAACAGTACAACGTGGAATTAGAAATATTTATTCAGAATATAAGAATGTTTGTAAAATATTATAAATGTCTCTGTATAAATAAATGGAGTTTTTTTAAAAAAAAACAATTCTATATCAAATAAGAAAGTAGCTATTTTACAGCAGCTAAAACTAAAGGCATCTGGGAACATTTAAAGCATATAAGTGAAGAGTCCAAAAAATTAATATAGTACAGTGTTAAGTAGCAACTTTAAAATGAGACTTTCAATACAAACAGCAGAACAATACTGACAAATGCAAATGCAGACGTGTGCTTTAATAACTAAGTACATTCAAGCAGGTTTTTCTAGTAATTCAAGTGGTATAAAAGCACATTTTCAAATAGGAAACTTAAATCTCAGGCAAAGTAAGTCTTGACAAGTTAAAAACTTTTTAGAAATGAAGTGAACATGTTTCATAATTTTTGAATTAGGTTGAAACAAAAGCAGATTATTAGGGGCACTCACTTATACTTGGCAGTCCTGACATGAACACTGTAAGTGAATACTATGAGTTCTACAAACAGAACATCAGTTTCCCACAAGTTGATCTGGAAAAAGTGCAAAAGTGAATGATAGAGCAAAAACTGTTTAAGCAGGGCACCTGTGTCTGTGTGAATGTGGGGGAAATAACTATATAAGTTGCTCTGTTCTGCTGAGCTGATACTTCAGATGATTAGCAGATAAATGACTGAGAAGATGAAAACACTACTAGTCAAGGATGTGAGTACCAATAGCAAATTGTTCTTTCTGGGACTGAATGGTATTTTTTGTCTTGTGAAAAATCTTACTCAGAAGTAATGTGGTAGAATTAAATATAACAACCAAAAATGTAACAGTTGTCTGCATGTGAAACATGAACTACTGTACACTTTTGTACCCTTTTCCACTTTTTATATTTTAATAGCAACTGAGTGCTCAGTAATGCTGCAGTGATAACAGCCAGCATATTAACTGGTAATTCAGGTTCCATTTCTAAAGTTACTTTGCAGCAAAGGCATCTCAGTGAATAGAGAGAGTAACTTCTGCGTAGGAAATAGGGTACTTCAGAAGGCTACTGTTGAGAGCAGACTTCAGCCTGACTTACATGTAAACACAAGGTTCAATTATGGATATACCTCAAAAAGTTTATGTAATGAAGGTATTTTTATTTTGTAGCAAGTTAACACCTGTTCTACAAACTCTAGAGAGTTTGCAAGCCTTAATCAAAGGCAGTGATTATATCATTCCTGGTCAAAATAGGCTGTTCCATTTGGATAAATAGAAAAATAATTGATTTTCTCTGAATGTTTATATTATTCTACAAACCTGTCATGTACTGCAGAAAAACAAAAACGTTACATATGCTCTCACTACCCACCCACCCCAGAAACCTTTGGGAATCCTATAGCTACACCCTAATTAAGTTTGGTACAGAAATTCTACTACAGAATTCTCTCACTGTTCAGGTTCTCAGTGCTTTTGAACTATAGCTCTAGTAAAGTAGGTGAAAGCTGTATGCTGAGTATGAATTTTTCATTTAAAATGTCGAATGAATGTGATGTACTTCCAATTAGGCATCTGCAGGTGATTTAAAACTTTATGGAGGAAAGGACACTTTCAGATGTCATTAATAAAATTCTGGATGTTTTTGTACCTTGGTGCTTTTCTTATCACTTCATCGTGTGTGTGTTTTTTTTTTTTTGGTTGGTACTGGGGATCCACCTCAGGGCCTTGCAGGCGGTGGCACCAGTGAGCTAAATCCCCGGCTCTCATCACTTCATATAAAACATGACCATGATACTGCAAACTTGAGACTTTTAAGTTGAGGAAACTGATGGAATTAAAAAGTAATTGCAGCATAATTTTTGTAGGCCATAGGAAATTGGCAGCCATGGAAATTTAATTCATGTCAGTGACAGAGGCAGCCCAGCCTTGTCCAGGTAAAATATTGAACAATTTTTTCCCACTTAAGATAATATCTGTATGCAGCTGGGAAGTAGATGGCTTTCGATATAGTTTCAGATTTTCAGCAGAGTGGCAGAATTCTTACTACCCTCAGTGTACCAGCTTTTAGGAAAAGCCTTTTGGCTCTAACTTGGGACTGCCTTTCTGAAATGGGACATGAAGGCTCTAATTTAGTTTTCTGAGTTCCCTGTATTTGCTGAAGGCTAAGAGGAAGACTTGGAAGTACTACATGCATCTGAAAAAATTAAGCACTGATGTTTAACTGGCACTGTAACTTTATTAACCTAACATTCCAGTCTCAGGCAGCATGAATATTAACTTCAGTTTGACCTGCCAGCAGATGAGTAAATATGAAAATTATCTCCAGCAGCAGTGAAACATCTAGTGTACATTGAGGCCTAGAGTATGACAGGGACAGTGTGATAAATCTCAATTGTCTGATCACATAATGTATTTAACCCTAAATAATCTTTGATGTAAGTCTCAAAAGGGAATCTGTCTTGCGGCCTCTAAGTTTATGGCAGTTTTGGTAGCTGATACACATGGTGTTGGACAGAGTATCAGACCCAGCTGGTAGGCTCACACATTGATGGCACTCCCGCTGTGAATGGAAGTCTCCTGCCTGTCTTTCTGCCCTGGTTGGTTTTGTTAGCCTCAATTCAGCAATGGGAAATATATTCCTAGGGAACTGTAAAACATCCCATTGCTCTATGCCCATTTCTTCAGGATCCAAAGACTGAACAGGAGAGAGAAGGGGCAACTTCCAAAGAATCTAAAGACAATTTAAAAATACTAAATTTTGAATTAAAAATCAAGATCATTGTTTAGCCCCAAAGGAGATGTTAATAGAAATACGTTCCTAGAGAAAAATTCAGGAAGAACAGTTATACAAGAGAAAATTATGCAGGCACCTGATATCATTTAATCAATGCAATTCATTAGCTTCACAGCATAACCAAATGTCTGCTACTTCACCTTTTAACAAAGATTGTCTCTTAGGGAGTATTTGAAAAATACAAGTAAATCAACTATAGTTTTTTATAATACATATTAATAAAAGTAATATTCTTGCCTGGGATATATATTTTACCTCTGACCACACAAAAGTATTATGTTGAGCTACAACTGACACTAAGGCCTGGTAGGATACTGCTAGGGCACAGAGTAGAAGAGCTGAGGCTCTTTCTATCTGGAGGAAGTACAAGGCTTAAAACAGTGGGTTCTTTCCTTTTACATGCAGCAGAGGTCAGTGGGCAGGATGTTAATCTGGCTTCAGCCACACTTTTCAGGATTGGTGGAAATGGGAACTACCCATTTGGTTAATGCCTGTTCAATTACTAGAGCAAAAAGCATGCACATGCCAGTTTGCCCAGGACAAGGTAGAAGAGTAATGAAAGCCGATTTCATCTATTAAACATTTTTTTGCATATACTTGACAGCTAAAACATCTTCCTCTTGACAAAATACAGCTTTATCCAAAAGGGTGAAAATTGATTTTAAAAAGTGACTTCCAAGAACTTCAACTAAATGAGAATGGAAACAGTAATCAAAGCATCCAAACACTGGTCCTTACAGACGGATACCTTTTTTCTCCTTTTTTGAAATGATCTTTACTGCTGGCCTCAGGGAAGGGGTGTTGCTTTTAGGGAAGAAGTGTTCTAGGTGGTGGCTGGAATTCCCTTCCCTGTTGCACATAGGTTGAGGAATTCTCTTGTGCCCTCTGAAAATAGACCAACTTGTACTGACAGCTCATGGACAGGAAGATTTTCCTGCAGTGACCTGGTATAACAACTATTTGTAGTTAACTGTGACATCAGAACCCACTTCTCATAGGGGACTTGGGTAGTCTTGGGGCTACAGAAAAAAACAGCAAATGATCTTGTAATTTTACCAGTGTAGAACTGAAAAACAGAAGGGTAAAAGGGGTGAAGGCTATAGTAGAGAAGGAATGATAATTTAAAGTGGAAGACCTCCAAGAACAAATTCAGGTGCTTTCGTCCTGCCTAGCCCTGTTACCATTTTGCTGGAAGTCAAACTTTTTAAGCAGAATATCCAATCATTACCATGTATCCTGAGGGAGAAAAGCCTCTCAACTGCACGCGCCCTTCCCCTGCATGACAGTAAGAGCTCAGTGCCCAACTGGAGGTGCACTAGTATTCAAGTAGGAATAGTTTTGCAAAACATTTAGCATCTCCTGTCTGACAGTGCACACCTTGCCCCTGAGAGAGAGAGCACTACAATTGTACTTCAGAATGAGTTTTGATCCAGTAGAACAGCAATTATATAGTGCCGTAGTGCTGGGGGAAGTATTAATACTGCTTCTCCTTTCTGAAACCCTAATAGAATTTTAGTTGTATAACGTGTCATGATTCTCAGCTCTTAAATTGTGGCGAGTAATAAGAGTCCGTTGAGAGGGGAAAATGTTAGAATCAAGAGAGCTCCCTTCCCAGCCCTGATTCTAAAATGCAAGGTTGAAGGACATCTCTACTCTTGTAATACAGGATGGTTCCAGCGCATCTCTGGTGTCTACTACTTGTAACTGATGGGACTGTAAGCGCTATCGTAGGGCAGTGATGGCGAACTTTTTAGAGGGTCTCTAACTCACAGTGACACCTCTGTAGGACAGTTAAGAGTTGAAGTGGGGCTTGAAAAACAGATTCTTGTTGGAACAAGCAAATCAGCAGTCCTAGATGCTAGAAACATACAGATCTGTGTGTCTATCAGTTTTCCCTGGGAGGAAGAGGATGGAAAGAGAAATCTGAGATTCCAGATTAGCCCACTATCTGAAGATTAAAAAGAAAGATTAGAAAATTATAAAAACAAATGCACTGGATCCCACTGATATACAGAAAAGGGGAAATGGTGACTATTGAAAGCAGAAGATATTACTGACTGAGCACAGTGCACAGGACCTTCGTTTACATACTGTCCATGAGCCCAGGAGAGGAGGGACAATCCTGTGGATAAAATCAATAGTGTTGCTGGGGCCACTCACCCCAAGGAGTGAGTCTGTGGCACTCTGTCCAATTCCTGACCTTTGTGCCAGCTTCCTTTGTCTTCCCAACCAGTCCTCTGGCCTGGGACCCTTCTTTCAGGGGCCTGCTAGAGTTTCGTTCCAGGGACATAACTTTGGTGCCTGAGTGCTGATTAGAGTGAAGTTTCATTGGTATGTGGCCTGGAGTTCTCCTCCTCCAGCAGAGCTATTCTTTGTTTGAGCATTCTCACTTGGGTCTCATGTCTTTCCACCATGGCCATCATCTGAGATTCCAACTTCTTCAGCTTGTTCTGATGCTTTTTCTTTGCTTTTTCATATGCAGCCACCAGGTTGCTATATGGGGTTAGAGGGAAATGAGAGTAAAAGATTCTTCCTAAGTAGCATGAGACACATTGTCTGGTCCCCTGGGTAGCCAGGGCTAGTGAACACTGCTCTAAAAAAGAGCTCACTCTGGCTCTTACAGAAGAATCTGAAACCAGGTGCTGAAAAGCAGCACAAAACCCAGACACTGGCACTCAGTGCTAGTCATCTGTCAGTTTAACCTTGATTATCCAGACCCACTGCTGTAGGCTTGTCACACTGACATTTTAGGAAGGTTTCACTAGGACTGAAACCAACAACCTAGACTAGCTAAATCTAAAGAAAATAGAAAAAGTAACTGAATATCAGCAGTCTGTTATTTTAAGTACAGACTACGGTCCACCTGTTGCTGTGTGGCAACTGTAAGTTACAGGAGTGTTGCCATGAAGTAACATTACTTAGGATCAGAGCAAAGAGGCTTATCTTGTTTTTGTTTTTTGTTTTTTAGTTTCAGAAATTTTAATCAATTTCCACAAATTTATTCACATCACATAGGGATATGTGATGTCAAGTAAACCAGACAAATTTTGTTCCTAAAACAAGACCTTGAATTTTTTGTAGTATCCATGATATGCATCCTGAAAAACTTGTTTTCATCTATAACAGACTCCTAATATAAATTCACTGGATTACAAAGTAAAACAGAGATTTTAATGTCCAAAATCAAACACTACAAATATACTGTATTTCATTTTCTGCAAGCAATTGATATTGCATATTTACAAAGCATCTAAGAACATTAATTATTCTTTTAAATTAATTTTATTGGTACATTTCAGATATACATAATGATCACATTCATCATAGGGAATTTACCTAAAAATGTCTCAAGTTAATCCTTCTTTATAGCAGAGTAGTACTCCATTGTATAAAAAACCCTACATCTTTATCCATTTGTTGGACGATGGGCATTTGGGCTGTTTCCAAGCTTTAGCTATTACTAACTGTGCCGGTATAGACATGGGTGTGCACATATTGCTTGTCTTTCTGACTTCCTCCTATGCTTAGGGGTGGTGGGATTCACAGCATTTAGTGAGGCCACAGGAAACACTGTCAGCCAAATATAACAACTGTCCTCATGTAAGTACGCAGAAAGCAAGCCCAGATAAATGCAGATACCCTGTCTGGTTCAAAATGGCACTTTGAACCTTTTCATGTGCAGTCACATTATTAAAGCCACGATTCTTGAAAGTGTGGTCTGAAGATGGATCCCTGGCAATTCCTAAAACCTATCAGTGGGTCCGTGAGGTCCTGACATTTATTTCTAACATCGCTGCAGGAAAGTGGGTGTTTATATATTTTGAAGTAACATTGACTGCAAAAGCAGATGTGAGTCCAGCTGTTTTCTATTAATCCAGATGTTAGATTTGCAACAGTAAATAGTGCCACTTTTTTAATTGCTTTTTTGGAAAATACTTTTTCATTAAGATGACATTTGTTTTACATCTACTGAATTTGGGATTTTGGGGTAAATGAATAAAAACTTTAACAAGTTTGTCTCAATTTTAGTTTCTGATATGAAAAGTATCAATAAATTACAAGAATGGAAACTCTTTGAAATACATGTAAAGGGGTCCTGATCCCCCAAAATTTTGAGATTATCATAAGATAGTATAAAGTGTCCTAAAGTGATCCATTGGATATTAAATGGTTTCATAGCTAGTTCAGTTTGGAAAACGCTGGCTTAAACAAAGATACTTTACTGTATGATTCTCAGAGCCTTTGCTATATATCAAGAAGAGACTACAGTAATCTCTTTCCTAGTTTACTTTGGTCAAAGGACCCATCTTTCCTGAGGATTTCTTAGGTTTCTGTGTGGCCTCTTGTCGGATACTGCTCCGAGGAGGGGCAGGTGAGCACACCCCACTGTCCAGAGTTGCTTCCCAAGGCTACAGAGAGGCTCTCCCTGGAGCCTCTGGATGGGTACTGTCTAAGTATCCCTGGGACAGATGGGGATTCTTACCTGTTGGCGCGCTTTAGATCATTAACGAACTCTGCAGATTGCTGGTGTCGGATTTCGCTGCTCTTTGTGAGCCTTTCCAAGGCGCTCACAAGCTCCTGAACTCTGGCCTTGAGCTTCTTTTCTCTGTGTCAAGGAAAGAATCCACTGCCCTGAGTACCTTGAGGTGACAGTGGAGGCGTCCCTGCCCCAGCTGTCCTGGGGAGGAGGCAGGTGCAGCTTGCCAAATCAAAAGGCAAAACGACCTGGGCTCGGGAATAACATCGTTTTCCTGGTCAGCAGAGCTAAAATGAACACTTGACCCCGGCCTTCTCAAAGGCCGATCTGAGCCTGCTTCTTGAATAAGAGCCCTTCAAAGATCTTAAGTATGTGTCACAAGGGAACAAGACAGGTATTTCTGTGGCGGCATACAAGGTGGTTGGCAAAACTTAAACGGCAAACTGGAAAGGAGAGGCATAGAAATGATACTCATTTCACAAAGGTCTTTGTTCCCCATTATAGTATTTAAATCTTATTTGTATTCTGAGTTCTACTGCTTTTGTTCCATGGCTCTGTACTGTAGCATTCATGCTGAGGGAAGAGTCAGTGAGGGGCAGTTTCTGGAGTCTTTTTTTTTTTTGGTACTGGGGATCGAACTTGGGACCTTGCGTTTGCGAGGCAGTTGCCAGAACCACTGACCTAAATACCCGGCCCGGTTTCTGGAGTCTTGTCAGCTTACTGCTTTCCAAGACGCAGGCACAGAAACAGTGATTAGCACCTCCCCTGATGTCACACGAATGGTGCCACCTTGCACAGTAACACACCAGACTCAGCACGGTCTCGCTGCAGTTGGTTTGGGTCTCCAGTGGATCCCCAGCACTGCACCCAACCTCTTCAGAACCCTGCAGTAAGTACTCAGTGCCTTGGAACTTACTGGAAAACCAGTGCTTAAGGGATGGAGTATCTCTAGAAGGGCAAGTGTGGAGAATATGAATTACCTGATTAGTTCATGTGACAATATGGTAATACCTAGGAAACTACCACCAAAGAATGGACACCTCCCTTAACCAAGCAACTTGATTTTTAGGACTTTATCTTACAGAAAAAACATGAGCATAGTTCCTAAAGACAATCAGTTATCGCTGGATTCCCTTCAGGTTTGGTTATAATAACTAAGAGTGGAAAAGAACCAGTGGAGTGGTTAAGTTCATCAAGGTATATCCATGGTATAAAATGCCTGCTTAACGAAACCCGTTTATAATAGAGATCGACATGCAGTGACATGGAAGGGAATCTCACATATTAAGTGAGAAGGGTAAGTTCTAGTGTATCACTTTCTAAAAACAACTGGAAATCTGAGTGTGTAACAATAAACTAGAAGGCTGAACACCAAACTCAACAATAGTTAACTCACAGGTAGGAGGTAGAGCTGTTCTACTTCACTCTTGTTTTGCTTTCGAGTTTGACGATTTGTATGCTTTCTGTAAAGGAGTCTCGGTTGTCCTTCCCATGGGAATGACACAGGAATGTGACTGTAGCAGGGTCAAAAAATCCTTGCAGATGCACAGTGACTTGGACTCTGATTCTCCCTTCCTGGCTTCTGGATTATCTAATCTTTTACATTTCTGATGTATGGCAAGCCAGGTTCTCCAAACTGATTACTGAAGGAAGCCTTTTGCAAGGGACAGAGGTGGGAAGATATTCTGGCTCCTCAGTGTCCAAATCATTCCTCAGTGAGTACCTCCCACCTGCCTTAGCTACCGGGGGGTGGGGGGTGGGGTATTGGAGCTGGGGTAGCTGCAGCTGTCACCCCCACCCCGCCTCCCACCCACTTCCTGAGGAATGTGTGCTTCCGGACCCCAGCAGGCACCAGGCAGTCGGATCTGGTTGCATTTCCAACTGGAAGCAGAGAGTGGCAGCATTTCCTAGCAGAGGTGAGACTGTATGGTTGGATGGGGTTCCCTCCCTTCCCACAGCTTCCTCTCAGCCATCTGAGCAGCCAGCTCCCCTCCAGCTAAGGCGAGGCTTAAGAGCACCAGGCGTCACCCCCCCCACCACACACACACCCCCTCTGGCTGGAAAGAACAGGGTAGAGTTGTTTATTCTGCATTTTATTATTGTTCTGATTCCTTCATGTTCTTTCTGAAATTGATTGTACAAAGAGAAAAAGCAAATTACGATGAGAACTAAAAATGTAACTCAGAAAATCCACAACAAAAAAAACCACTCAAAGCAGAACTATCCCTGCCCACCCACCCCCATCACTTCCACACCCGGCAGACAGGGAGAACAAGGAAATCCCAGCCCCGACTCAAAGGGCTTCCTTCCTTCCAAGCGCCAGGCCTCAGGGCACCAGGGGGAACTTTCCGGACCTGGCAAGATCCAAAGGAAGGATAGAACACCAGGAGGACACAGGAGGATCTCAGATGCCTCCTGGGCCAGCTTGGGCCATTAGGAGGAGCCCCAACATGCCCCACCCTACCGCCACACCCCAAACTAAGGAGGGGAGAGGGGAGTACAAATGCTAGCGAGAACTGTCATTGATTGATTTAAAGTTGCAAAGACAAGGTCAAACCTAAAATCTGGGTTATTTGCATTTGACAAGCAGATTCCACATTAAGAGTTGGGACTTCAGAATCACTCGCCTCACAGCATCATCCAAACACTGAAGCAACAATGTCCTTAGAGCTGTGTATCCAGTCAAGAACAGACACTGGCCATGGCTACCAGAGTACTCGATGTGACTGCCCCAAACTGATGTGCTCTAAGTAAGTGTAAGACGCACACTGGAGTTGGAGGCCGTGATACAGAAAGTGAATACAAACAACTCCATACCTTTTAAAGTCTTCCTTCCCTCCTTGCCTCTTTCTCCCTCCCTTTCTTGTGGTGGTGATCCAACCCAGAGACTCATGGACAAAGGGCAAGCGCTCTACCACTAAACTACATTCCCAGCCTGAGATGTTTTATATTAGGTTAAATATGCTACTCAAATTATAATCAGGTCGGTGTGAGGCAGCCTCAAGCATGTTAAGCAAGCACTTTACCACTGAACCACATCCCTAACCCTATTAATTTCACATTTAAAAAATTGGTATGGAATTTAGAAATTTTTAAATTACATATGTGACTTACATGTGTGGCTCAAATTATATTCCTCGTAGAGAGCAGTTCTCTAGAGCATTTGTTTAAAAGCGTGTTCTCAGATTATTCCCCTGGATTTTGATCCAGTGTGTTTGAGCTGAGACTCGGGATGTCATTTATGAGGTGCCCAAGTGACTCATTACCAGGCAGAACTGGGAAACTGGTAAGGCAAGGGCTTCAGCAGGGGAGTGAGGATGGGCCCCCTGTGCTCCAAGACACCCTGAATCTAACAGCTATGTGCGAAACATGCACAGAGGCTGACTGCAGTCCTGTCTATAGCTCTCCTCACTCTCACAGGATGACCTGGAAAAATCCACCACAGACGCCAATCCCAGGGACCTCAGAGCCTCAGCCAGCCATGCCCGTGCCTGCTAGTTTCTAATTGCAGATGTGCTTGGGCTTCAGCTTGGAAGAATCTATGCAGTTTGTATATGTACTAAAGCCAAAACGAGCATTCTCTCGGGCATTATACAGATGAGAAAGCAAAAATGAAAACACTGTATGTTCCATTTCCCCCTCAACAGTAATGCATCCATACAGTGTTTTCTAGAATGCCCAAAACTGTATAGTCCCTTTCGTTCTTGTTCTTTTCTTCCCAGTAGGTTTAGGCACTCATGAATATGTACCTGTACCATCAAGTAAAAATAAATCAGTGCTGGATTATAATAACACCATGGTAACCCAAGTCTCCCAGTGCACATGTTGTATGGGTCTCCCACATCTGGCACTTAGTCCCCTCACCAATAGCGAGGGTTACTTTTCATCACAAAAGATCGTATGAATCTTACTATAACCACACAGCCAGGAAAGTACTTGTTTTTTTAATTGACACAATTTTAAGCAGTGGAATACCTATAGGGGATTTGAGAGGCAGCTTCATGATGGGAGGTTTAATATAATATGGAAAACCAAAGCGGCTCGTCAGTAAGCTGGGGGGCAGATGCCTATGCAGGACTCCGATGCACTGCTTGCTGGTACCCTGGTGGCTGGGTTGCACGGCTTTGTGAACAAGTAATAACTCCTTATTATTGGATCCTCCTTACAATGATTAGGCCAATAGGCTATACACTCTGTGATTAGAGTCACCAGGGTGAGCGCCCAGTCCTGATGAGGTCTGTGCAGCTTCCCAGCCAGCCAAGAAGCCTTTCAAAAGGGGCTGTAATCAGACCAAACCGCAGGGAGTCATGGCCATGCCACCACAAGGCCGGAATTTCTTAGCAGTTGCTAATTACGTGGAATTAGAACTGAGAGAATTGTCTGCATATGTGGTTCCTCTCCCTTACCCTTCAACCCCAATCTGCCTTCTGCTCCATGGACATGGCTAGGTCAGGTCACCGGGGAGCACTCTGCTTCAGTTAGCGGTGGGTCCTTTCTTACCCAGCAGCGGCATCTACGTGCTTGACCACGCCCTCTCCCTCCGTGGTCTCTGTACTCAGGATTAGTGCAAGGCCTGCAGGGGCTGGACTCCATCCTCCACTTAGGGTCCCCTCAGTTGTCTTCTTTTCCTCTTTTCTCTCTTCATATCACCTCCAGATGCTGGGATTTACCTAAGCATTTGGGCCTAGACTAGATTTTAATTTTACTTTTCTTTAATTCTGTCCACTTAAATTTATTTTCCTAAAATCTATCTACAAGCTAAAAAGTCCAAATCCTTATCTCTAGACGCTTCTTCAGAGCTCTGGACTTGTCCATTTGACACCTCCATATGAACAGTTATCTTCAGTTTAACATGACGAGAGCAGAACTTTTGAAATCATCGCCAAACCCACTTTCTTCTGTGCCAGCAAAAGGCAACACCACTGGTCTGGTTCCTTACACTGTCTTGGAGTCCTCCCTCAGCCCTTTCACTCCCCTCATCCTCCACATCCGCTGAACAGCAAACTAAATCTTTTCCTCTTCCCATTTCTGCTGCCACCACGAGGGCCCAAGCTGCCATCCTTTCTCACTTAGATTACAATGACAGCCTGACTGGCTTCTCTGCTTTACATTTGCACCCTTCTGATGTG